GGCCTGTCCGTTCTGGCTTGCTGGAACGGACGGTCCACGTGTATTTCTGGACCATCCGTTTCGGCTTTCGGATTTTTCGAAAATTACCAAAATTAGGGTTAAATCACTTTATGAGAAAGAGATTAAAAACCCTAATGAGGGGAGCCGACTTTAGAACACTTTTACAGACTTTGGTGAGATCCAAGAGGTTCAAAGAGGTGATCTAAGTCTAGTTTTCTCGAAGCAACATACCGAATAGTTTATTCGGGTCCTAGCAGACAAGCTCCAATCGTTGGAATCCATCCTGAGGTGTGGATACGTGTAGAGGGCGAGGTAATCTTCCTGCCTTAAGTGATCAGATGAATTCTTCAGTTGATACAAGCCCCAGATCGATTGAGGTATGCGTTCTAACATTTCTACGATTCATACATGCATGGTTCTAGGGTTTCATAAAATTTTTGTTTTTCATCCGCCGCGCAAACCCTAGAATCGATCTCTTAGGAATAGAATTCGCTCTAGAGATCCCAGGAAATTCCAACAAACTCCACTGGATCGAGCCATGACTGGGTTGTTATCATACTATCACATACGGATCGCTGCCATACCATGGTCTCAAAACTCACTTTAAAAATATTTTTAGCACAATCTGAGGTCACATCATAGTACCTAACTCAATTCTTTACTTCTCTCATCTTTTCAAACATCATGTTTAATTAGTATCAACAGTTCAACTCATTCTATCGATCCAATAAACCAATTATGAAACGTCATCATATAACATGTACGTCACAAACCATAATCACTCAACAGAAATTTATCAATCATCAATCATCATTCATATTCATCATTCATCAATCATCAGTCATCATCAATCATCAATCATCACTCATCAGTCATTAATCTGTTGGTTTAGTGTTCTATGATGTACTGTTTATGAGCTTTATTTAGATACATTTGATGTATTGATACTTTCTATGGTTTTATGAGAGTATTTGATTCATTACATGTTCTTGCATACTAGATGTGTTATGAAATCCATGTATCATTATGAATGATACTAAACTCCCT